GTGGATGATGTGCAAGCATCTGCCAATATCTGTGTCATTTTTCTGGGAACCACAGTGGAGAGGTTTCTTGGAGGACCGTAGTCTGCATTCAGGCATTAACAAATTTGGAATATTCTACATGTGAATGCTCCAGATATAAGCCTCCCAACTCATGATGTTGGTCTTTGCAGACACTTGCATGTTAAGCTTAGATGTCTGCTGATATTTGAAATCAGTATGTGAATATCTGCATAGGGGGATTATATCGTGCTTGCATAATGCTCCAGATAATGAACATCTGAACAGTTTAAATTCAAATGTTGCCTTCACTTTTTTGGGGTAGAATTGCTGTATAGATATGAATTATGTTTGCTGTTCATGGGCCAATTTCTTTTGATAATTCCTGCTCACATTGCACATATTGCTGCAATGGTTGGATTGGAAGGAATGCATTTTATGTGATTAAAAAGTAAGCTATTTGACAGTACTGTCGTAATACTATCGGTGCTGTTGCAATACTGGAGGTATTGTGTAACTTTGACTTACTCTGATGGCTCTGGGTAGAGCATGCCAAATTCCATAACTGTTGAGTAGAGAAAAGTTGTTGAATTTTGGCTATGATTTTGGTTCAATTTTTTCCACTTGCATGTTTTGTAGGAGAAACTCAAGCCTGGATATTTGGAGCAATTACCGGGGAAACTGAAACTCTTCTCCCAGTTTTTGGGGGATAGAAAGTGGTTTGCTGGGGATAAGGTACATGCATGGCAACACCTGGGCATCCTTGGGCAGGTCTGATCTTTTTGGTGTCTCACTGTTGAATTTTTTTTTTCTAGATCACATTTGTTGACTTCCTCATGTATGATGTACTTGATCAAAACCGCATGTTTGAACCCAAGTGCCTTGATCAGTTCAAGAATCTTCAAGATTTTCTGATTCGTTTTGAGGTTAGCTTTGCTTGCATGAGATGTGCTGGCTTGTGGATCTTGTGACTTAGTTCATTAGGTTTTGGCAAGAAGTGACAGATTAACCCACAACATTTGTTGGCTAGAGTGGATGCCCAAATTGGCATAGGCAGGAATATGTGAAAAATACTGTCCTTATGGTATGGGCTACTGTCCCTTTAGTATATGAATTCAGAGAGGACTCCAAAATGAGCACTTGAAGGACTGGTGATAGATTCTCTTCCATGCATTTATTTAATGTATATTTTCCTATGATGAACTGGTTGTTAACAATGCAAGGATTTTAAAGTTCTACTCCCAAGTGATCAACTCTGATATTTGTATATACATGTATGGTAAGTAAAACAGAGCTCCATACGTGAATGACCTCTTCAGAAAGTATGGGTGGAAAGCCTACTGACCACCTGTAGACATGCAGATCTTCTTTTAGTTGCCCCTGAGTCCCTCCCCAAAGACTATGGATTTAAAATAATGGGTAACTGTAAAAAATGATAGCAAGATTTTCCCGCCAATTTTGGGTGGGAAGCAAAATACAATTGGTACTAAATCTAGCAGTCATTCCCTAACGGGTGGTTTCAGATGTTTTTGGACTTTATCCTCATCATTCTTTCCTACTAGGCATACCAGCAGAGGCTGATGGGAAAAGGAATGTGGAGGATACTCCATTAATGTGGTCTCACCTAGAATTTGTTTTTAGTATAGAAGAAACGAGTATGCTTGTCCTGATGGTGGGTTCATTGGGTTGTTGGTGGGGTATGCTTCCTTGAGCTTTTGGCCTACTAACAGCTTCTCTCAATCTCCTAATATTTTTTTTGTCTGCATCCTCAGGCCCTGGAGAAGATTGCCGCTTACATGAGTTCCAGCCGCTTTATGAAAACTCCAATTAATAATAAGATGGCCAAATGGTGTAACAAGAAAGCATAAAGAAAAAAAAATATCCTTGTTGCTGGATATTTCCCCTTTTTCTCCCTTCTTCACTTGGGTGGAGTTGATAAAAGAATGTGGTCTTTCTGTAGAATTGTGATTGAATCATTTAGGTATTTGAAAGGCAGTAGTGGCCAATAAAGTATCTTGGAATTACTTGGTAATGTTGTCATGCTCAGTATACTATCACATTATTTTGGCTTGTAGTCTCATACCTCCTGTTTTTCACCTCTGTGTTATCGTGTATTCACATGAATATGTCTTTATCTGTGAAAAACTACTTTCATGTGTGCTCAAAGCTGATTGGCTGTTGCCCTTTTGTAAGATGAGAACATCACAGAAGAAACATAAAAGGCTACTATTTTTATTTTCCATTGCATATGAGAAATATTTAAATAAACAACTTGTTTAAGCAAAATAACAATAAATTAGATTAGGATTAGCAGTATCAGAAAACTATGCATTCTGATTTGCTTAAAGCATGTTCCTGAAAATTGAATCATGGGTCAACTGTCCAATATTTTTGCAAACCCAAAATTGACAAGCTATAACATGAGTTAAATGCCAGCTATCAGATCCTGGGAGTAATCTCACATGAATGCATGTGCACAATCTGGAATTAATTGAAAACACAGCTATTTCCATAGAAGGGAGGTTCATTGATTCTTTTTAAAACAATAACCTCATTTTTCTGTCCAACTTCTCCCCATTGTGTTCTTTCCCTAGCAAGAATCAGTGAAAATATTTCTAAACTGACAAATTACAAAGTGCACCTAAAATGGTGTATCGGAACCCTAATATATACAGTAAATACATAGAATCCTTTTCTTCCTTTCTAATCCAGAAGTGTGAAAAAGTATCACAAGGAATGAGGAATCCATGCATGTATAAGAACTGCAGCACACTGACAGTCTTCTATTTCAAGCAACCTAACTTTCTTGTCCTAATAAACTATGTGTGGAAATAAATAGTGAAAGTTGGAAATTAGGGGAATATGCTATGATTATCAGCTCTTACATGGTTGGGGTGAGGTTGAAAATAATGTCCTGGCTCGTTGGAGCCTTTTCATTAAATGGATAATCTGCCAATCCTCGGGAAGAGACCAATTCACGTATTGTTTTCTGAATCTATTAATGTGTGCCTTAAATACAAATTGATATATATTTCAAATTTGTCACCACCCATCTCACTGTGGAGTGGCTCTGAGCAGTTTACAGTAAAAATAGAATAAACATTAAAATAGATAAAAATTAATTAAAATATGCTAAAAAACTTCCTTTATACTTCCAAGAGGCTGATGTTAATTAGGTGTTAATAAACTCAGGGAGCATCATCAAGGCGCCAGCCATTCCCAGGGTCGATTGTATCTTTCCTCACCCCATGCAAGTTGGCAAAGCCAAGTCTTCAATTCCCTCTGAAAAATTGGGAGGGTAGGGGCCTGCCTTACCTCTGGGGGGAGACTATTCCATAGAGCGGGGGCAACGGCAGAGAAGGCTTTCCTGGGACCTGCCACTCAACATTCTTTCACTGATGGGATCCGCAACATGCCTTCTCTGCCAGACCAGGTGGAATGGGTTGATGTAATGGGGATGAGATGGCCCCTTAGGTAACCTGGACCCATGCCATGTAGGGCTTTAAAGGTGATAACCAACACCTTGAATTGGACCCGGAAATAAACTGGAACCCAATGCAGCTCCTGCAGCAAAGATGTTACATGCGCCATCCTTGGGCACCCAAGATTGCCCACACAGCCACATTTTGAACCAGCTGTAGCTTCTGGATACTCAAGGGTAGCCCCATGCAGAGTGCATTGCAGTAGTATAAATGAGAGAGGACCAGGATGTGAATGACAGACTGGAGGGAGTCTTGATCCAGGAAGGGGCGTAACTGGTGCACAGTGTGAAGTTGTGCAAAGGCCCTCCTGGCCATGACTGCCACCTGCTTCTTGAGCAGGAGTCGTGAGTCCAGGAGGATCCCCAGATCACACACTGGTTCTGTCTAGGGCAGTGCAATCCCATCAAGAACCAAAGATGGTAAACCCCCAGATACAGAGGAGCCTCCAATCCACAGCCACTCCATCTTACCAGGGTTCAGCTGAAGCCTGTTGTTCCCCATCCAGCCCCCTACAGCCTCCAGGCACTGTGAAAGGGTGGTCACAGCATCACTCAAATCACCTGGGATGGAGATGGGTATCATCTGTGTATTGATGATACTTCATCCCATGGTGGTGGAATCTCACCCAGTGGTTTCATGTAGATGTTAAAAAGGAGTGGTGAGAGTACTGAACCCTGCAGTACGCAACAACAGAGGGGTCGTGGGCCGGACCTCTTGCTCCCAAGCAACACCGACTGGTACTGACCTTGGAGGAAGGAAGTGAACTAGCACAAAACTGCCGCCCACTCCCAACTCCCTAAGTGGGCCCAAAAGTATACCATGGTTGATGGTATCAAAAGCTACTAAGAGGTCAAGAAGAGTGAGGATGGATGTACTACCCCCATCCCACTCCCACCAGAGATCATCATGAGTGTGACCAATGCTGTTTTCGTCCCATATCTGGGCCTATAGTTTTTTTATATACTCTCAATCTTCTTTTCCCCATCCCCCAATCATCCTCAATTGGAGAAGGTACATTTAGAGCATTTCTAAATTAGGCTCATTACTCAGAACGTCTTGGCTTCCCCAAAACTATCCTTTTAAAGTTCTAAGATCTGAAGGATCAGTTTGAGTTTCTGTCCTTCATAGCTATCTTGATATAGTCCAGAGTTGAAGTCCACATGTCTTAAAGTTGCTAAGGTTGAGAAACACTGATATAGTCTGTTTCCCTACTAAAAAATTAGAGAGGTGGTCTGTGGTAAGGCCAGGCTGCAAGAATCTATGATCCCTGCAAATTTTGTCCCCATCCTGAAAACTATAGCCCAGTGATTGAACAGGGTATCTCCGCTGTGACTGTAGCCCTTCACAAATGTTCCTGAGATCATTCAAAAATGGTAAGCATGTTACCACTTGGTTACAGAATTTACCGAAGCATTCTAAAGCCCCCTTAAAGGCTAATCTTAACAAACACAGCAATTACAAATGAATTGGAAAATAGATTGAAGATTACCATCTAATAATATTTTCATCAAAACCAATGAAGAGAAGAGTTGTCGATGCAGTGATCATCTCTCAGAAGTAAATGATGGAATGGGTTGGGAGATCTACAAAAGCTAATGCTGAGGACCATTACTGTGGAAGGAAGCACAGAGATAAAAGCGTAACTTAGATAAACTAGCCATTTTTAAAAATTAATACCAGCTTCATAGTAAACTACGATGGGATGTAATTAGTTTTGTATTAGTATTATATAAATTTAGCCATTCTGCAATCCATGGTTTATAGCTTAGCACAATGTCTGAATCCAGTCATATCCCTTGAAGAGCTCAGGACTGTATGGAGTTAAATATACTTTTGTCCTCACAGCAATGTTGTAGTGGGTGTGCTTAACAATAGAGACCCATTTAAGGCCACCCAGTAAGTTTCATACAGAAGAGAGGACCCTGAATTCAGATATAGTTGGTGTTTTGTTGCTGTGCTCATGAAAGAGCTTTATCAGTATTCCAAAAAATACTATATTGTAAAAGTATCACTTTTTCTCCAAAGACATGGATTTCAGCTGGAAGAATATGTGCTTCTTCACCAGAACAATGAAAGTGCTACCTCTGAAGAAACATATTAACATTTTAGTGCACATTTTTGTGCTACAATTATTTAGATAGAAGTTGATCCTTGACAGGAAGTACAATAACACCCTCCATTGCAAAATGTCTAGGGTTGGATTCAGGCTGCCTCACTTCTCCCTGTTTAACAGTCTTTCTCTCCCAACAGTCTACTTACAAAACATTGCAAGCAGAATATTGCTTTCTGCTCCCACGTGCTTATTGTGCAGATTTCCTTCAACTATCAGATGAGTTTGTGATGTTAGAAGTATGATGTCAGGAAATTAATGGTAAGATAAGGTTTCCTTATAGAAATCATAGATGAAGTAAACTTATCTGCTAGTTTATCATAGCTTCCTGAGTTACTAATCCTGACATTGATAGCTAAATATCAAGTAACAAGGAGTAACCTATAGGTGTAGAATCCCCAGGCTACATGTGCCGATACCTCTGCATTTTGTGGTCTGAGGGCATCTGTGGATGGTTAGGCCAACCTTCTTTACCCTGTTTCTGTTTTTGAGGTTTTAAGCAAAAAATCCATTAAAAACCTACCAACTTCCTGCAACGTCATTCCTCTGGAGATTAGATTGGCCCTGGCTCTGCCGGCCTTTTACAAGGTCCTGAAGATGTGCTTGTGATCCTGGGATGGGTGCTGGATTGTCAGAGCCTTTGAGATGGTTATTTTAATCGCTGTTTGATTAGTTTTTAACCTTAGCTGCTGGTTATGTATTTTATTTTTTTGTTATTTTTTTTTAAACTGCTGTTAGCTACCCAGAATAACTATGGTGAGATGGGTGGCTATATAAATAAATAAATCAACCCTCTCTGTTCTGTGGAGGAGGTGGAGACCATTAAGGCACATCTCTTTTCCCTTTAATTTTTCCCACCAAAATGCTCCCCAAAAGAGCCCCACACCCCTTCACCACACCTCATCTGCCAAATCCCTGGTGGGCCTCAGAGGCCAATTCCTTTTTCAAAGGGCAGCCCCTGCCTGCAATATCCACCTGATATAAGTCCAGAGTAGTCCCAGTGACAGGGTTTTAGTTATTCCTACATTCAGTGGAATAATTGAAAAAGAGAGGAAGACTGAATAGTTATCCAAGGCTGCATTGATAATATGGTAGCATATCTTTCAGCAGTTTTCAGGTCATGAGATCAATTTGATGGTCAAAATTTAGACATTATCTTACCTGCAGTGGGGATTTGACTCCTGCAAGCATTGAAAATACTTTTCTTCCCTCCTCCGGGCAGACCATTTTCAGTTCTTCTTGGCTCATTGATAGTAGTTGTCTTCCATTTAAGATGCCAAGGGATCTAACTGTGCTGTTGAAATAACCCAGAAAAAGTTAAATGTACATACATAGTCAAGCTAGTCAATCTTGAGGCATCCTGAAGAGGAAGGCAGGGTTGGACCTGATTCTATATGCATGTGTTTATTACGCTGCAACTTTTTTTTTTTTTTTGGGCTGAAGTTAGAGAATCAGGGATTCTCATTCAGTATTTACAAACATCCTGTGTAGATAGTGTTGAAAGTTGCTTCATGACCGAGGACTGGAACATGGCTCTCTTGCTTCTAGATTTGACACTTGATCTGTGTGCTTGATATGCATGACTGTAAATGTGGAATCTGGTATTTCCTGCATAAGTTAGCATTATCATTCTCACCTTGCTCTTTCTTTGCTTAAAAGCAAGTTTACATCTATAGTTTTGGTAAACTCTCAGCACCTAGAATTATATCCCCAACTTGACAACTTTGGTCATAGTGGTAGTGTGATTGCTGGGCGTTGTAGCTGCAATGCATCTGGAGGAAAGCTAAGCAGCAAGGGACCGAACAGAGTTGAAAGTGAAGAAGGAGTTTGCTACTCTGCACAACTCTTCCTGTCATGGACATCAAGCATGAGAACAACCAAACCAGCCATGATCAGAATAAGATTTATTGGACTGGTTATTAAAGCGACACCTACATCTTGGAAAAACCTTTTGTCCTGAGCCAAACTGTGACTTCTGCTGGTGAGGAACCTGGATGGAGATCAGTGAAACTTGTTGAAACCTGAATGCAGAGACAACAGGAAAAATATGATTCATAGGAAAAGAGGATATTAATTGCTCAAACTTCTAAAAGCCTGCCTGCTTAGAAATAAGTATAATTTTAAAAAATAAGTCTCAACAACTGGGCTTGATTTCAAACTTACTTTCTGAATAAATGGCCGCAAATTTGGGGATCTGAGATTGTCCTTCTAGTTCTCAGTGGATGTGTAGGTGAAAGTATAATCAATACAAACTTACAGTAATCTCAAATACCTAACTGCTGCTGCTTCTAGATGCTTCAGATGTGTTGCCTATGCTTAGCACAATTAGTCAGTCAGTTCCATTGTTATGCATCAACACAGCAGATTGAGAGTCTTTGCTTTCACTAAATTACCAATCTAGTTTCTCAGCTTTAATTCTGTGATGCCTCCCAAAAACCTAAACAGTTGGGATGAGACTTCTTGCTATTCCCCCTCCATGAACCTGCAAATAACTTTTTATGACACAATACAGAACTCAAGATTGTTCATAATCTGGATGTCAATAAGGATTCAGTGTATGGGTCTCCAATGAGACATAGCCAATGAGAGCAATTCTGTCTGAAGAAAACTGTGCACAACTGGTTCCAACAAACTTTTTTCCCAGAGAACACACACTTTTTCTGGTTCTGTATCACATTGCCAGCAGAGAGCTGTTGTCTAGATATGCTTCAATTTTGTACAGAAGAGGAGGGGTTTCTTATTAACTCCTAACATCATGTATCTGTCTCTGCAATGCCACATGGCACAATAGAAAATTGTACTCACTTGCTCAGCATTATTTTCTTTAGATGTTTTCTGATCCTTAGGTTCCACAATATTATTAGGAATATAGCCTTTCTCCTGCATGGCATTTCTGGCAAGCCACCATCTTTTTCTTCTGTCTAAAACCTAATCAAAGGGAGAGTTCATTATATGAGGGGGAGATGGGCAGAGATAAATCTAATAAATAAGTAAGTAAGTAAGTAAAAGATAACTTTTGATAGTCTAAAGAATCCAGTACTGAATCCTGTTAAAAAGGAAAGTGATCAGTGTTCAAGGTCTAGCCTAGGTGGAATGTAGTTGCAAGAAAAATTGAGTCCAGTGATTGTTATCGTTGCTCCTGTGGAGTGTTGTTTAAGGATGCCAGGCCCTAAAATCTTTTTTTGGATTTAAAAAAAAATACATTTTTTTATTTTTGTTGCTGTGGACAGCCTAGATGGGCGGACATATATGTTTTCTAAAAAAATACCATCTGGGTGACTTTGGGCCAGTCACTCCCTCTCAGCCCAACTCACCTCACAGGGTTGTTGTTGTAGGGAAAATAGGAGGAAGGAGTATTGAGTATCTTTGCCGCCTTGAGTTATTTATAAAAAAAATAAAGGCAGGATAAAAAAAATCTAAAAAATAAATACATAAATAAAGATGATACCTGTGCCATTAGTACAAGTTCAGACTGACCAGTGTGACTGTCAAGTCTCATGATACATGGCAGTAAAAATTAAGAAAAGGCTGTTTATAGGAAATGTTTGGCAAAGCCACATGCTGTTGGGAAGAGGTTATGAACAACACTTTGGAGTTTGGGGAAAAGGCATCCTAGGGTCTGCACCAGTCCATACATCTTAAAGTTGCCAAGTCTGAAAAACACTGGTCTACACTGTTCCTTCCAGGTCCCAGCTCAAGAGCCTATGATAATCATTTGCAGTATTGATGACAACTAGACACAAATTACTATTCCACAGTCTTCAGTTCTGATTTTGTTTGATTATGTGAAGTAGCTACAAGCCACTATTTTCTAGCAAGAATTATTATTAGAACTTTCTTCTCCTTTTGGTATTTACTTACTTACTTACTTACTTACTTACTTATTTATTTATTTATTTATTTATTTATTTATATTTCAAATGTTTCACCGCCCATCTCACTGTGAGGTGACTCTTTTTGGACCTTCTATACCTCTTAGAGCAAAATACTTTGGCATCATTTGCTCTCCTTACTAGTCATGATTGGGCTGCAATTGCTTTGGCTGTGTTTATGTAAAGAAACAAGACATCTGTTGACCCCATGCAGGAAGACGAGGAAGGCAACTTTGTTAGTGAAGAGTACTGTACTTGCCAGGAGATCTCTCTACCAAAGGGACAGAGTTTCAGTCTTACCTCTAGTAGGTCTCCTTTCCTTACAGTGAGCTCTTGGGGGTTCCGGGCATGGAAATCATACATGGCTTGCATGAATTGGGGAGGACCGGAGGCTCTGAAAAGGAGATGAAACCGCTTTTGAGAACAAAAGAATGGGAGATGAGCGGCCTGTTATTCCTTCTTTATCTGAAAGACTCCCTTGAAAAGAGTTTGCCTCCTTGTCCCTACATGGCCACATCACTTATGATGGAACATCTAACAGATCCTGCAAATGTGGGCCAGGCACCCCAGCTTGAGGAGTGGGGGAAGCATGACAAAGAGACACAGAGTAATTTCACCTTAATGACCAAAGGTATAAGTTGAGCTAGAGAATTGTTTTGACAGGCTTTCAGGATTTTGTTATAATCTCCTACTATTGTTTTTACAAGTAGTTTGCCTTTAGTGACTTCCTTGTTTAGCGATCATTCACAATTAGGATGGTGATAAAAAAGTAACTTTACAACCATTCCTTGCATTTACGACCTTTGTGGGTCTGTAAAGCAAAGGAAAGCTGAAGTAAGATCACAAGCACAGTTGTGGTTTCACTTAGCGACTGCTTTGCTTAACGACTGAGCTGTCGGTCCCAATTGTGGTCACTAAACAAGGACTACCTGTACAGTGATTGTTGTTTTTTGCATGTGCCACCCTTGCAGGGTTTGACATCCATGTAGCTTTCTTTTGAACAAAACAGGAGTGTTTGGGTATTTTGCTTTTTTTTTAAACTTACCAGACTAGCGTACAGCCCTGGGATTTCCTGGTACTCTACCATCCAGATATTAACTAGGTTCAACCATGTTTAACTCTTTCAAGTTAATCCAAAATGTAGTTAGATAGTGTCACCTAGTTGGCTCTCCTTTCTTAGATTCTATCAAATTAAATCTAGCACAAGGGCAGGATTCTATGGTCTTCCAGATAAACAGTAGATCCCAGTATTCTTCCCACTGATCATGCTGGCTAGGACTTTGGAAGTCATATTTCAGTGACATCTGGAGGGACATAGGGTTTCCACTTCTACTTTGGAGGATCTGAGTAACGTGACTCCCACTTCCAAACGGTACCACACATCTGCAACTGGGAATATTATGAAGCTCTTGTGCACAAAAACAGCTCTAGCAATAGGATTCTGATGCACAGAATACTATTTCTTCCTTTAGTTCTCATTTATGCCAGTTTCAGAGAGGTAATCATGTTAATTTGTTTCAGTAAAAGCCACAACATGGCACATTAAAAATGAACATACTGATAAACATGTTGAGGACCACAATCATTTCAATATACATGTGTTGTATCTTGTGCTGTTTTTGTGTTTTTTGTATTGATTTTTGTCCTTAAATGTTTTTAACAATTTTATTTATTTATTTATCACTCATATTTATATAGCCACCCATCTCACACAATGTGACACAAACAATTGTAAACCACCCAGAGTCACTGGGAGCTGGGTGGCATATACATTTAAATTATTATTATTATTATTATTATTATTATTATTATTATTATTATTA